AAATTTTAGTCTTCTAGTCTAGTAAAAAACAAGTGGAAGAGAACTTTGAAGTCAATAATCAAGTGCAGGAGGGTCCTGCCAATTTACAGCCTAGGAAAAGCCAGAGCTACAAAACCTGAATGGTGAAAATTCATATTGCTTCTTTCTGCTATATATTTCACAGTAAATACTGTCAAATTGGTTTTTCCTTTGTAGTTGAGTTGGTTTCTGGTTTTTATTGCTGTACTTATATGTTTCAAAATCAGTCCATCATGTGGAGAGTGTCTGACAGTGGTGGTTGCATTGCATGCTTGTCCTCTGCTTCTTTAGTCTGTCACAAGTATTCTCTTCTGAAACGAAAATAAGATAAAACTGCTCCCCCACCCCCCCCCCCCTCCAAAAAAAAAAAAAAAGAGAAAAAAGGTAAACCTAAAAATTGGCATAGGCCTAGAACCACTGCTGGTTTTACCTGATCAGGTTACATAAATTATCATGGACTGGAAGATTGTGTTCTTTGCGAGTGGGAGTATAAAACGTCTTTCTGATTATCATGACTTGTTACGTGTCTGCATTTTAGGTGTGTGATATGTTGCTCAGAGTATAAAAGTGGGGCTCGCTTGACCACTTTGCCTTGTGCACACCAGTATCATTCAGAGTGCATTACACGCTGGTTGAAACTGAATAAAGTAAGATATTGCTTGTTTGGTGTTATGTTATTCGTAGTTATGCATCAGAGTTGTCTATAGTGATTGCAAAGAGTTGGCTGTTCCTTTCGAGTAAACTTGCATGTAGTTTTCCTGATAGAGTAGCTATCATGTGGTGCTAAAATGGTTTTTCATTTGCTTTTATCATGTTCATGGACTAGTATGTTTCTTATAAATCCAGTGGACAGTATGCTGCTTCATTTGTATTTGATTCTGATACTGTCTGTCACCAACAAACCATGGAAGCAAATGCATTGGCTACACAATAAAAAGGAAGGAAAAAAGAGCAACTTTTGGCACTTCCGTTTGAGCTCTGAAATGACATTAATGCAAAAACCTGGTACTGTCCATGTCGTTATACTGATGCTGTGAGCAGAAGGGGAACCCCAACCTTAAAATTGTAGTATTTGGTATTTCATCTAGGCTTAAACTCATCTGTGGCTTTGTGTTTTCTCCAATCCAGGTAGTGACAGTTGCACATGTGCATATTTGGGTTAAAAGAAAATGTATAGTTGCACTGTATGGACGCATGAAAAACTAGTCTTGTATTATACAATGCTGCCTCTTACCTCTTTCCTACAGAATTGCCCCGTCTGCCAAGAGGAGGTCCGAGAAGATTAATTGGCGCAAGCAAGACCACTAAAAGAAGAGAAGTCAGTGTCTCTCTGTTGCTGGCGCATGTGCTCATGTTCTTTGACGACTCTGGAATTTTGGTGTAAAACAGGAAATGACCTGCTGCTCCTGAGGCTAGAAGTTCTGTACTAGTAAATTGTGCTTGTAAAGGAAATTTGACTTCCATCTCTTGCTTTTTTATCATGTGTGAATAGCTTCTGGTTTCACCTTCGCTGCGAAAACGTTGTAGTTGTCCTCCCCTACATGTTTTGCTTTCGAATCCTTGCAACTTGGTAAGGAGATTCTACTCCGTTTTAGATTTCTGCGCTTTCTGCTGTTTTTCTATTTATAATCGTCTCGCACTGAGAAAAATAAATTTGCACGGACACCGAGACTCGAAATACCGCTCCATATGTACCGCCAGTGTACGTAACAGGGAACCATCTCAGAGCCTCCAGCTGTAACTCCATTACATAATATTTTCTAAATCCGCATTGTACATAACTACTTCTACTATATTGATCTAATGACTAAACTTGAGGATTGAGACTCAAAAAATTTGGATTTTAATCCTTCTAGCCCCTCCATATTTCTTAAACTTCATTCTTTTTCTGTTAGAATTTTTTTTAAAAAAAAAGACTAAGATTGAGACTTTCTGTTAGAATTTTATTTGGAATAGTTACTGTAGCACTTTTTGTGATGTGATGTAGATGAAATAAACAAGTAATTGAAAAAATAAAAAAATGTGTTGAAAATTATATTTGTGATGTAATCAAATAAATTTTGGCCATTATTTGACTATCCAAACACACTCATTGATTATGATGATTTTGACCCTACAAGGTTTGAACATTATCCATAAATTCAAATAATGATACAGTAAATATGAATTAGACATTCGGGATACGGGGATTGGAGCATCAAAATCATTTTCCTGAGACGATTTATTAAACTTTTTTTTTTTTTTTTTGGGAAAGAACGATTTATTAAACTTTAAAGTCCGCCCTGAACGCCGCGTGACATGAAACAAGTAAAGAGCTACCGTCTGTTGGCTTTTGTCAAATCCGAATCAGACAAGATAGCGGAGGAAGCGGAAAGCAAGATTTTGACAGATGTGCCAGCAAAGCCAGAACCAATCTTTATGGCTTATTAACACCAGGAAATGGAATTCATATTTTAAGAAAAAAAATTGGATATATTACGCCCTCGTTTTTAACTTCTCTGATTGTGTGAAAGTTAATTGTAGAAAATCAGGGAAAAAAAAAAGCATCAAAATAGCTGCTCTCTTAGGAGAGAGAGAGAGACACAGATGCTCTCTTTAGTCAAAATCTCCTTCTAATTCTCCTATAAAATAGATTTCTTTGTGCGATATTCTTCTCTTTTAAGATCTCCTAAGTTTTCTCTCTCTTAAAAAATTCTAGCAAAAATTTTAGAGTTTTTTAAATTTTTGTCAATTTTTTTTGTAAAATTTGAGATAGATATGCAATTTCTCCATTTACTATTATTAAATCTTAACTTGTTTTTGGACTTGAACCAATTTTTTATCAGGTGTGTTATGATAGCTAAATTTTTTCAAATAATATTTCGTCTGCGTCATAAACATATTTTTCAACCCATCTTTTTGTATTTTCAATCATGTTTTTATCTCACGTACATCGCATCACAAGCAACAGTAATTATTCCAAACAATATTTCAAAATAATACTCGTATATGGTTGACAGAAGGCGAGTACATATCTATTGGGCTTATTCATATGGATAGAGGATATGAAAATATGTTGGTAGAAGACGAGTCCACATCAATGTTATGTATCATATTCATTGATTTTCTAAATTTATTATTGTATCTATTGATTTCAAATCTGTACATGTCTATTGAATGAAATGATCTTTTAAATATATATATATATATATATATATTTCAAAAACCAGGAAATGGAATCACAATCCAGGTGCTTATTTAGAAGGGTTCGTTTACTACTAGAGTTTTGCCACGTAAATTTGTAATTGTGGATGTCGACTTGAGCAGGTTCCCACTTTGTTGATCATGTCATTTGCATACAATTCAAGATTGCAAAACGCTTGCGGACTGCGGGGTGGCCGCAGTTGGGACCTTGGAAGGCGTCAATCTCGCAAAGCACCGGCACCGGTTCATCAAATTGATTTGGATAACTAGGTGGAGACATGGGCGATGGGGGGTGAGGGCCCATTTTTTCGGTGGGTTTGTTCATGCTGAAGCTGAACTGCACGTGTATGGAATGTACAACGGAATTTGATTTTTCGCCGGAAGAAAAAATGTGGAGGAGGAGGAGGAGGACAAGATCAAATTTCATTTCAAGTCCAAGTCAACCTGTGCTAGTGTGAATTAAAGGCAGCATTATGTCGAATGGCTGGAGGTTTGCGCTAGCCGTCGTATTCTAGATGGACATGGATCAGGGGACCAAAAGCTAGGAACACTAAATCCTGTGGAGGAGGAATTATTGGAACAATAATGATACAACCACAACATGAATCATGTGGCGTCGAATTAAATATGACTTACATGGACGAGTAGCATCTTGCAGTGGTGGGGTGCAAGCTTTGACAACCATTTCTGTAGACCCAGAAGAAACACAAAGATAAGAACGAGCAAGAAGAAATTCCCCACCCACCCAACTTCTACAGCATGAATAAGAGGAGAAATTCTTTGACTTTTTAGGCACCGCACCGCACCTGGTAACTTCTGAAAAATATCTGTCCCTTCCTACGTGAAGTTTATGGTCGGAACTCGGTAATGTGAAGGATATAATTCGTCCTGTTTAACTATTAGTATATTTTTGCTCCGCCACAAGAGTGGAGGATTCTCCCTCTTTCCACACCTGGAGGGAGGGAAATGCGCAGACTTTTCCTAAATCATTCCCCCGTTCAGGAAGGATTACAAGCTTAACACAAAATCGCCATCAGAGACGATGTAAGTGCATTATTAGTTATTACATCAATTTGATTGTAATTGGATGGGACAGGCTCCATCCGCAGTTGTACAACAACTTATAAGATCACCATAAATTTGATCGTAAGATTTAATTAATTCGATCAACCTTCCCTCGCTTAAATTTAAGATTTTTCTCTCTAGTGTTCGCAACTTAAAACAAACGTGGCCTTTATTAGCCCCGGCGCCAGTGCTGACAGCTGAGTCTGAGTGGTGGAGGCTGATGGAGTGGATGGTGGGGGCCCTGATTACTTCGTCCCCTGTTTGTACCATATCCAACACACAACTTTTTTTCTTTTTTCTTTTTCCTAAGCAGTCGGTGTTATCGTGGGCGCGGTCTATTCTCGAGTCTAACGAAACAAAATTTTTTAGGGATAAAAATGTGGGGAGATCTGGTTTTATATCATGTGGTCCAAATTTTACAATATCTTCAATTGTCTTGGATTGATGAGATAGTGTGATAAAATTTGGATTACACAATCTACATATATCGAATCCGTTGAAATGTTTGCTAATTTTTATTACTAGTCATATTCAATCAAATATCACCTAATTTTATTTTTTTATTTTTATTCATATGACTTTCTTGACAGGGAAATACTTGGATAGACCCTATGATCCAAATTTTACCGCACTATATCTTACCAATTTTATGCCGTATAAATTTTATTACACTATCTCACTTATTTAAGAATGGATGGTGCGACAAAATTCGGTCACAAATTCTACCTAAAACTTGGCCTTCTCGGTACATACTATTAGAGGGCATTGGTGTTTCACCACCTCCTTTCTTCCCCACCTCTCCCTCCGTTGCCATCTCAAAACCAATCATTAAACCTATTATTCTTCCCGTCTGATACGATTCCAAGATTTAATATGTGGTGCTGATCCACTCCCCTTTCCGTACCTTAAGTAATAACTACTACTGTAATAATCCACCATTTCCCTAATATAAGTTTGTGACGCACGGCTGGCTGGCTTTACTACTTTTGTGATTACATTAGACATCCTGGTACTGAATATGGGGGCTGGTTTTTCTCGCCAGTACTCCAGTAAAGTCGAAAAAATCGGCCCCGCAGCATCAAAACCTCCGCCTGGTCTTGCAGACTTGCCAGAAAGTTGTGTGGCCTTGATTCTTTCATTTCTTGACCCTTGTGATGTTTGTGGATTGGCGGTTTTGAGTCAAAGATTTCGTCAAGCTTCTTTGGCTGATACAGTTTGGGAATCCAAGCTGCCTCCAAATTACAAGATTCTTGTGAAGAAGCTCTTTGCTGCTGATGGTCAACATCAAACTTCAGGTGATCAGAGTACTGAGACATCTAACTTCACCAAGAAGGAGATATATGCCAGGTTGTGTCTTGCTCATCGCTTCGCTGGTGACACCATGGTAGGCTTCCCACTTTCTCCTCTTCAGTTTCCATGAGCACAGACGTCTGCCGGAGTGCTACCCAACTAGGAAACCGGCGCCATGCATTTATCCATCTACTACTAACTATATAACAGAATGAATAGAGTTATGAACAGTAGAATGGGCTGGTTATGCTGTTCATCCTTGGGCAGCTCAATGTTTGATCAAATACTGGAATCTTTCACACCTGAACTGAAGATTTCTCAATAACTGCTAGTAATCAATGTGTTTTTTTTTTTTTTTTCTCTTTATGGTTCTTGTTCTAGTAGCATTTATTTGCTCCAGGTGCACTATTTCCTGTTTTTCTTGGCTTGGTGGCGTTTGACCGACGGATTTGAATTTGCTTGACAATATTCGTGCTTGATTTTTGGCCGCAGGAAGTTTGGATGAAAAAGAATGGCGGCGGAATTTGCGTTGCAATTTCTTGGAAGGGGTTGAAAATAACAGGTATCAGTGATCGCAGGTACTGGAATTATATCTCAACCGACGAATCCAGGTGACTAGTCAGTACAAAGTTAATTTGCCCAGCCCAGTATTTTCCCTCTTCCTGAAAACTGCTCAGATTTTTTAGCACCGCCCAAAAAGAAACAGATACGAAGAAAAAGCGATCAAGAACTGGTTCTTAGATCAAGAACTGGATCATTTACGTTTTCCTAAATAACTCACCAGGTGCTCGAGGGCTTCCTCTCCTAGTCTTGTCTTCTGTTCAACTTCTACATTTTTTACCCCTTGCAAAATTTTCTGGACACTTTCAAAACAGAAATTCGTCTAGAAGTCAGCATGAGATGAACGCAGGGGATGGCTGGTTGGCTACCTTTTCCAATCAAAAAGCTGTCCCCGCTTTCACATTGTCCAACTGCTTTCCGTACGTGATGACTTTTCTGTATATGCCTTAGTCCTCCATCCTTTAATCGATTCCATCCACAACAGTTTCTATAATATATGTAGCCGTCAAGTAGGCCACGTTTTAAGTAATTCAGTGCTCTCAAATCGGGAGGGGGGAGAAGGAGAATGAAACAATAAAAAAAAAATGATAATGATGGACATGCCTAATGTGGTAGTGACATAAGTATATAGCTTTCTTTGGAGGCTAGGAGTAGCATTTTCACCCGATAAATATCCATAATGAGGAAACGTCAAAAATTCATCTTTCTTGTGACTTGTAAGAAACAACGAAAGACAGATTGGAGTTAATTGCCTTGTCCAAACTTACGCTTCGGATGCATAATTTTGTGTTCGTATTTGGTGCGCTTGCAGCGTTCCCGACGTTGATTCGAGCCGTTGATATTTGTTGGTAGATTTTATTGTTTATGTAGACTACATCGATGATCATCAACTTGCAATTAGACTCAAATTTTATTCTTCCTTAATTTCTTCACTTGTTTTTCTTGTATTTTACGATCATTTAATGGCATCTTCAACATTATGCCCATGCAAACGCTTAATATATTCCAAAAGTTAATAAAGTTAATTGGATTTTTTTTTTTTTTAACGCTTGTGTCTAGAGCACTTGTTACTATAACTATCACTCTTTAACCTACTAGGTAAATATGCACCTACATTTATTGCTCCCTAAATTAGCTACACTTTTGCCAAAAAATTTACACTTAAATCCTTTTTTTGATGAATATTCCGAGAGGTGGTCAGAGATAGGATAGGAAAGAAATATATGTGTAGATAGATGTTAGAGGATATCAACACCACATGGTACTTTTCTTTCTTGTTTATAATAATATTCCATAAATCTTTTAGTTGTTGATTTGTTGGTGTAACCTTTACATAGCTTCTCGAAAAAATACCAAATAATACGGATTTGTTTTTTTTTTGGGGAGGATATAAAACTAGACGTGTGATAGGATCGAGGAGGGGTGTAGTTTTTTTTTTTTTTTTTTTTTTTAAGGGCTCACAAAATCATCGCATGAAATAAAGGGCATTTTACACAATCGAAACTTACTAGACTAATAATTATGTTTGAAAGATAATCAACGGTGATGAATTTGCTTGCTAGAAGAATCAAATATCAAGTGAAGGCTTCCCACTTAGGGGCCGGCTAACTACTCTTACGTACAGTTATGCAATCTGCATTAAGCATTTGCTCGTTGTTATATTAATTTGTTTGGCGAGCAGATTCAAGACGGTTGCATATCTGCAACAGATATGGTGGGTAGAAGTGGAAGGGAAGTTAGAGTTGGAGTTTCCAGCAGGAACTTACGGCCTATTCTTCAGGATGCAGCTGGGAAGAACCTCAAAGAGACTAGGCAGGCGAGTGTGTAATCTTGATGGAGTTCATGGATGGAATGTAAAGCCTGTCCGGTTCCAATTATCAACCTCAAACGGCCAGCAAGCAACAGCACATCATTATCTGAAAGAACCAGCTGCCCCTGGGGAATGGACACACTATCATGTGGGAGATTTTGTCGTTGACCACGCTGACGCCTGCACCCCAACGAAGTTAAACTTCTCCATGACTCAGATTGATTGCACACATACTAAAGGCGGTCTTTGCTTGGATTCTGTGTTCGTATATCCCAGAAAGCTTGGAGAAAGGATTTGAAGCGTCAAGCTCAGAACTAATCATATTAACCCGGAAGTAAGATATTTGTTGTAATTGACTGTGATACTATATATACGAGGATAGGAACTGACCATCTTTGTGCATGATCGATCTTTTCTTTTCTTCCCTGGTTGACCACTACAGGGTTTTCGAAAGCAAGCAAAGTTTGCATTTGGTGGTATTTACAGTAATATGAATGCGGGCCGGACCGTGATTAATGCAAGCAAGCAAAGTTTGCTTCTGGAGAAAGACGCATTCTGGACGAAACAAGCTTCCACAAGCTAGGAGTATTTCACGTTTGTAGTTTGTACAGCACAAGGCTACAAGTTAAGCGAAATTCTCAAGTGCACAGGGTTTTTATTCTTTTTTTTTTTTCCTTCTTTTGGCGCATATACTTCGAATACCAGCATCACTCGCATGAGATACTAAAAAGAAAAACATAAAGATGGTACGGTACTACTCTATCAAACTCTAGCCTAATAATAATAAGTATTCCTTCCGTTTCACTTTCATAGTTAAAATTTTTTAACACACAATTTAAGAAGTTTTGTTAGAAGAGTAAATAGAACTTACCGTTTTTTCGTAAAATATCATTACGTTAATATTAGAAAGAAGCATGACTAATCATTATATCTTTATATTAATTATAATAATTATATTAATGAAAAGCTTCACATTTTTAAATTAAAGTAATTATTGAATAAAGTAAATTATGCTTACTGATTAAAGACATTAAAAATTAACCATGCGGTTGGTCACCAAGACATCTTTAAGTCTTGGTAAATGTGGGAAGCCAAGAATTCAATTCTTGCTTTCCACCAATCACTATTTGTGATTTTCTCCTCCTCTTCTCTTAAATTAGATTAGAATAATTTTATACAAATTGTTATCGATGCTAACAAAAATAAAAAATAAAAAATGGAACGAGGAGAGTAGCAGCAGTAGTTAGGGGGTGCTTGTTTCACAAATTGGAATCGGAAATGGAAATGGAATCATAGACTCTGGTTTTGGAATTAAACTTTTCATTCCAATATCTAACTTGGTTCACATATTGGAATTAGCATCATTCCAATTCCTGATGCTTGGTTTGATGAGTGTTTCGGAATTAAATACAATTAAATTTCAAATTTATCCCTGATATAACAATTCTTATAAAACAAAGGAATAATTGCAGGAACCTCTCTTATAAGAACAGAGTACCCATTTTTGTATAAACAAATTTATTTATCGGATAAAATAAAAATAAACCCATTTTCCAATAAAACACCAACTCTTTATGGCTTTCCTTCATTATAAGAACAGAGTACCCATTTTTTCATAAATAAATTTATTTATCGGATAAAATAAAAATAAATCCGTTCTCCAATAAAACACCAGCTCTTTATGATTTTTCTTCATAAATTGTCCATTTTCTCATTTTTTCATAAGCTAATTTATTAGTTGGATAAAATCAAAATAATGTTAAATCACAAAGCCTACAAAGTCTTGGATTTGGGTTTCCAATATGTAATTGCAGATTTATTGCAGATTTGGGTTTCCCATTCTTACCTAATGACATAACCCACAGCTCAAACGACTGCTTCATGTTATTCCAACTATGTGACGTTATCCAATCGGCGAAAAGATCCATCAATCCTTGAACATCCAGGGTCTGCGATAGCACTTGCAATCGAGAACACGCCCATTGGTTGAAAATCCCCAGCGGCATTAGGGAGGAGGAATTCTCACTGAGGGATGGCGGGTAAGGGTTCCGCTAGTTCTGATTGTAAAGCGGATTGCCGGAGGCCGGGTAAGGAGGCAACGGCATCGCAGTAGAGATGGTAGTGGTAGTGGTTTGCGATGGAGATATTGGCGGAGATGGTTCGGCGAGTTGAGCTTTCTGGGAAAGAAACGAAAAAGTGGAATTGGATTTCAATATGGTGAAGTCATAGTGACGAAGAGAAAGAGAGGGTAGAGGAGTTTATAAATGTTATCGAGGGAATAAGTTGAGGGTTTTGTCCAAAATCTACCGGGGAATAATTTTTTAGAAATAATTTCAAAAATTACATTCCAATAGATTTAATCCAAGCAATAAATAAGAGATTTATTCCATTTTTTTATTCTCAAACCCTTTAACCAAGCAACCCCTTAGTACTGCTATATAATGGTTATAGTGGTAGTATTTGTTCTGCAAAATCATGATCCAGCTTAGCGTAAGGCAACGCTGCAAAAGACTGGCCAATGGCTCCTCACAGCAGCTACATCGATATTCTCTCAGTCACACGTGTTGGCGGAATTTACTGCACAATCGTTCAGTTCGGGGACGCTTTAAAGCTTTTACGATGAGTACGATGAAGATGACGGAATTGCAGTAAATTTCTCCTACTCTGTCTTTTACATCAGAGTTCTGACACACACCACGAGCAGCTTTTCCCCCTTCCATTTTATGTTTTTCTTGCTCGTCTCTCTTTGTCTTTCATTTTACTACCCCCGTAGCAGCAAAATTTGTTGCTTAAATATAGGGGATAATTTCAGAAGTCCCCTTAAGTTTTTAATAATTTCACTTGACTCCTCTAAGGTTTTAAAAATATAGTTATCTTCCTCATTCATTTAAAATGAAACCCTCTCGTTTTTTATGCTTATATAAAGGATGGGTTTTTTTAAAAAAAATTTTCCTTTTTCCATTCTTATTCATTTCGCTTATATTTGGTCATAAAAATCGAAAAACTTTCAATGTTGTCTCTAACCTCTATTTTTTTCAAACGTCAAACTAGTAATTTTTTTTTGTATAACTTTTAATACCATCAAACTTCTTTTGTAACTCCTTGTTTTAAAAATAAACGGGCCAAAATCACTACTAAAAAAATGGTAGTTCCACTACTTAACTAGTCCACATACTTTAAAAGGAGTAAATTGCACGAATGTCACTAAACTATTGCAATGTGCCACTTTTAGTTACTAAATTTTTTTTATTAGTCAAAAATATCACCGAACTAATAAATTTGCACCGTTTACGTCGATCCGTGTATTTTTGCCATCATAAGAGATGAAAAGTAACTTTTTCATGGGTAATTTCATCTACACAAACATATTTTTAAAGCTCTTCAACGTAAATTACCCTTAAACGTGCCAGACAACTAACAAGTTCAAGAAACTATTCTAACTAATCGTTCAAATTCTAGGTAAAGCCAAATAATCATAAGAAAGAATTAAAAGAGCAAAAGAGGATACCTCAAGAATTTAATAATATAGCAAATCATTTGTTTTAATATTTGTCCTTTGGAAAATCATTATAGCTAATGTTATTGCCCGAGACTATGAACACTTACAAGTAAAAACACAAATGAATTTTGAAGCCATGCATGAAATGATAGAAATAGTGAGGCAAAATTGTGAATGAACTAATTGTGCCTAACAAAGATTGAAAATTTCTAAGAAGTGAAAGGAAAAGATGTGTGATTCCACAAAAAAAAAAAAAAAAGTTTTCCATTTGCATAAATTTGATAAAAATGTGCATGTGTAGGAGAAAACATCAACGTCAAAGTTCACAAATGTCAAAAAGAGTAAAAAAAAAAATTATGAAAGTATTGCATGAGAAATGATGATCATTAGTCATAATTCTTCACTTGGAACGTATGTTAGACCTTACCTAACACACCCCAACAACAAAAAAACTACTAACAAAGGCAATAATCTCAAAAGTTTGATACTTTCAAAAGTTCAAAAGAAAAAAAAAAGTCCATTCATTGTCTAGTGACTTTCCCTCCGACTGCTTTTTTTCCCTACCAATTCATCTAAGACAAATACAAGAAAGACAAAAAATAACAAAAATAAAAAGTCAAAAATAAAAAATAGATCCCATTTTATCATCCAAAAATAAAAGTAAGCTTTTCTTTTTTTTTTTTTAAATGTGGAAATTTCTAGTACTCACTTATTGAAAACAACGGTGAGAGTCTCAAAGTTCATAGGTTTCTCCACGAAAAACTTCAACTCTGCCGCCTTTTTGGTGGTGGCAAACCTCGTCACAAGAGCTCTGGTCATCCGATCTCTCAACAACATGCTAGTTGCGCTACCAGAGGCCGTAATAGCTTTGCAACCCTGTTGGTGCTAGCTACCAGATTTCCATCAGTTGTTGTCATTGGCATCATATACTCTTTACCGTCAAGCAACAGAGGCCCAGCAATCCCTACCGGCAATTGTGCGTATCCTATCGGCATCTCGTAGCACTATCCCAAAATTGACTCATAAGCAAAAAGCTCCAATGGCAATCCTTCAAATGACTTGTCAGTAACTCTCTGTAGCGCTTCTCTTCTAATAGCAGCCACCCTCTTACAATCCCCGAGGTTCATCCCATTGCCTTTTCACCCATGTCGCTACCATCAATCATCTGTTCTCTAATATTAATCTTTGTTTTCGGCCGGTGCTTTGATTCTTCTAACTGATTACTTTGATTTTACTGGATTAATGCAGCAACTTTTCTCATCGATTGTTTGCTTTGTCAAAAATTTTGCCAACATTCTAAATCATACTCACTCCACTCTTGTCCCTTCATTGCCACAGAAGGTTGTGCGGACGAAATTACCCCTCAAAAATTACTTTTCGTCTCTCCTAAAGTTATAAATAGATGGAATTATCTAAACAGTACAATTTTACGAGTTCGATAACATTTCTTACTAATAAAAAAGTTTAGTGATCAAAAGGAGCATATTGCAATAGTTTAGTGACATTTCACGCAATTTGCTCTTAAAAAATCAAGATAACACCTTTTTCTTTACTTTAAGAAGAATCTATATCTCCAATTAAACATTATGAAAAGTAGACTATTATAGTGATAGATTCATTATTATAATTGATTATCAAACTACAAAAATATTGGCATGAAAAATTTGATACTCATTCCTTTATAACTAACTGCTCCAAATTACTTTACAATTATTATTTAGAGGACTGAATTAAACTTTAGAAGATAAGGGCATTTTAGATTATTCATTAAATTCTTTACCCTACATTTATTGTTTGGTTACTAAAAGTGTTAAATTAGGGGAAGTAAGTATAATTTTAAAAACTTTGATGGAGCTAAGTGAAATAGTTAAAAATATCAGGGAGATTTCTGAAATTATCCCTGTATATAATTGCTGGGCCTCACGTCCTCTTTCTGTTTCTTCTTGGGTTTCCACCAGCCAGTTCATGAACCACTCTCGCTGCCGATACAGATTTTGTTTTGATGATCCCTTTGGTAGGTTCTTTATTTCTGTATTTCTTTTACTTGGTCTTAAAAATAATTTCCAACGTTTTTCTGTTGGCTAAAAGTGTTCATCTTACTCGGCGACTGCTGGGGCTGATGGTTTGAAGAAGTACTGAACTCTTAACTTTTGCATCGCAAGTCTGCTTACTCAGTAGGAAAAGATGGGTTTTGTACCCAAAAAGAGAGGAAAATGGAAAGAAAGAAGCTTTTTTCCACTTGCTTTTATTGGATTGTTGTTGTATCGTATCATTTGATATCTTGTATGTTCTGCTCTCTTCTGTCTTGATTCTTGCATTTTTTTTTTATGATTACATTTTTTTTAAAGGGATAGGAGGCTGCAATTGTTGCTAACTGTAAAATCTGGAAACTGGGTTTTAGTTGCAGCAGCCAAGGAAGATGGAAGTAAGTAATGACTTTATAGAATGGCTTGGTGCCGATTTGTCCGTAAAAATCCTCATGTTCCTGGAGGACCCTTCTGATCTTGTTCGTGTTAGTGCTGTCTCCAGTTCTTGGCGCCAATTCAGTGAGCTTTCCCACTCAGCTTAGGCATTGCTTCTGTGTCCATGCTTTATCAATCTACTGGTTTTAATTCTTCGTTTCCTTCATTCTGTTTCTCTGTGATTTGGGTTGTTCTCGGGGTGGTTATTTGTCACCCGCTTAATTGTGGAAGAACTAATTGATGGTTGCTATGTTATTTTATTGACTGCGCATATCCCAGTTTGGGTTCTGCTGGATTATGCACGAATGAAACAGAACAGCACTCTTAAATGAAGTTTTCTAGACGAGGAGTCCTTGTAATGTACGTTTAAGCTACTGTTCGTCATTGTGTTTCCAGTCAGTGGTGCCTTCTTTACAAGTGTCTCTCGGAATATTGGTACTGAATGTCTAGTCAATGCGGTACTTGCTGAAATGCTAGTTATAGGATTTTAACTAGACATTGACATTGCTTATTTTCTGAATATTGCTGAAGGTAAAAACTAGTTTACATCTATCATTGTCTTTGAGAAGCAGCAGACAATGATAACCATGTATGTAAATGGTGAGAAACAAAGAACTGTGCCAAAAAGATAATTGGATATTAGCATTTTGCAAGTACAATTAAATATGGTTCCCGTGTTGCTCAATATGACTTTTGATATGCTTCACTTTTGTACAAGTTACTGAGTAATGTATGCCTTGATCAGGGAAAATAAAAGAGTTTGAGCACTTGTCTGTCAACTCTTCTCTCTGTGTGATCAAAGTAAAGAAGTTTATGTGCAGGGCGGCAATCTGTGCCTTATGGTGGGGGAAAAATAAAAGAATTTGAGGACTTGTCTGTCAACCTTTTCTGTGTTTGATCAAACTAGAGATATTGAGGTGCTTCACAGCTGTCTGTACTTTTATCTCTGTTTCTTTTAAGGGCTTTTAACCTTATGCAGTGATTGTGAATGGAATATGCAAGCAACTCTGTTTAAAGATGTTTCCTGAGATGTCCACTGTTACTCATGCTATTGAAATTAGCAACATGATAGAACCTGTGGAATCCAGGACCAATGAGCCTATTGAATGGGCATGTCTGAAACGGGACCATAAAGTATATGCATTTTTGGCTCAAGGTCTTGCCTCCTTCCCAAGAAAAGATTGCTTGTCTGAGGCACTTGGTGCTTCAAGCACTGACAATTACCCAGATGAAAGCATTCAGAATACCCTGGAACCAAGTGACAGGATTGGTCAGAGAGCTTCTTACTGGTCGAGCAAGGGTGAAATTGATTCTGCAGTCCCTGAGACATTAACGTATAAATTGATGGCCAAACTCTGTGTGATTACTGAAATCCATATTCAACCATTTCAAGGTTATTTTAGAAGACTTTTCATTTTTGTTTGGGGAGGAGGGGGTTGACGGTGACTTCTTGTTTAAAACCTGTCTCTTTATTGGTAGAAAAACTTGATTTGCATTATCAGTGTACTTTCAGTTTGGTTCCCCCATATATTCAGCGAAGGCTGTAAGATTTTTGATGGGGCATTCTATTGCTGGTATGGAAGCACAAATGGAGGGAGATGTGTCTTCAGCTGCACAAGAATCTTCTCATGAAAAATTTGTGTGGACGTACGTTTCACCAGAATTTCCGATGGCTCATGTGAGTTTTACGTGCTTCTTTTCATTCTTTCGTACTGCTTAAGGAACAAATTTTGTTATCCTTCTGTCCAAAAGGGGCTGTACAAGGGAATGAGATATCACATCACATAACCAATTTGGGTTGTCTGCCAAAGGCTTGTTCAACTATAAGCTGCAATCATTAATTAGAATTTCAATGTTTTATCCTTTAGATTTATAGGTGTCATGGTCCAGATTCAGTATTACTAATTAACTGCGTTATAGGAGAATTGTTTGCAAAAGTTCAAGCTACCAGAACCTGTTCTCTGCATCGGAGGGATTCTGCAAGTCCAGCTATTGGGTAGAGTGCAGAAACAAGAAATAGATAGTTTGTATTACATATGGTGAGCCCTACTTTATTATGATTTTTCTCGCTCGTGTTTGGTGCACAAGTATTTGTTTTTTCTTTTGCCCAGTCCTCAAGTACCTACTTCAAACATTTGGCATGAAGTACTTGATGTTGCATGTTATGAAAGTTCTTATGTTGTTGCTAGCATTCATCTCATACTCGTTTGCCTGCACGAAGTAATGAAAACATGTTTTGTGAAAGGCTAATGATGTTAGCACTCCAAAAAATACCTACAATCCATCCTTGCTGATTGTTGCTGAAAGTGACATAAACACCTATAATCTAGATTCTCTAGCAGTCTAAATGCCAAAATTAGCCACAAGGCATGGTAAGTGAGCTTTATGCATTATTTATGTGGAGACCTCTATACTTTTGACTACATAGTCTTCAAGCTTATATATATATATATAACATTAGTTAAACTTGTAAAGCTCACGTAAAGAATGATGAACATATCCAAAAGCAATAGACAACTCCAAACCACAATGGCTAATACTTTACTCAAGAACTAGTAAATAATTCATACTTACACAGTATTTATAGAATCATCAGTATTAAGAATTTCCTCCATTATTAATAGTACAACAATTTAGGGCTAATGTAAGAATTGAGAAAATTGAACAAATTGAAGAGAGAAAATAGAAAGAATAATTCGTACATCCATAGAGCGCCAATTTTGTCTCAAAGAAAATTTAAATTTTTTTCATCATTTCATTAACCAAAAAGGAAGGATGGAGTGCCTTGAGCTTTTTTTGGAGAGTCAATTAATATCATTGGCCTTTGCGAGTAAGGTAATCATATGATAAAAAGTAAATTTTATTATTTTAATAATTAATTTAGATGCAATCCAGTTTTCCTTTTGTAATAGCAGTAGTGCTTAAGTTGTGATTTCTGTGTGGTTTTCATTTATTTTCTGGATGAAAGAATGAGGGGGCAAATCCTTAAAAGTAGGAGGATAACATAGAAAATGAAAAGGGAAAATTTGGTCTCCCTACCCCTGCGAAGCAGGATGGTGGCTTTCCTTTTAATATAGTATCTAATTTGTTTGGTCGTGTCAGTGTTTCTCATGTTGAAGTTGTTGGGCGACCAGCCACACCGGCATTTGATGTTGAGATATTGGATCAATCTGGAAAATGCATGTTGAGGCACAATCCTGAACAGCATCTTTGTTCAAACAACAGATCTCCTCAGTGTGAGTCGAGCTGTCCTCCTCGCATTCACAGGTTTGGTGCAAGTATAAGAGGTTGGGAGCACATGATCCTCAACACATTACTCGGTGCTAGAGGGATTATGGTAAATGACTACGACTACGACGGCGAGGACGATGATTCAGATGACCAGTATAACTAAGTGCTTCTGCTTCTTGCTACGCTTTCTGGTTTTCTTTTGCTCTGTTCCTGCTGCCTTTCTGTAAGCTCTGAAGCACAAGATAGAATGTGTAACATAGTCTCCTCCCGTAAGCTCTGAGGCACAAGGGAGAGTCCAGAGAATTTACTTTGAAGATTTGAGCTTCATTCTGCCATGAAGAAGACGAAAAGCTTGTTATTGGATCCACATCATGAACCATCCATCTGGTTAAAAACAAATAAGAAAGCTGCAAAATTTGCCTCCTCTTTTGTCTTTTTTCACTTGATTTTTGCCTTTCCTAGTTCTTTGGGAGGTTGCAAAAAGGCCAACTAGAATGTCGACTGTCGAGATGAGTTAACAAGAGAAACCAGAACCTTAGAGACAGTAGTATCAACCAATAAATAGCTCATGTCAACACATAGATACAGACCGAGCCATAAAGCTCTTGAGCTCCGCAATCAGGGCACGGTTATCTCCAAACTCCTGGTAAAAAGCAAATATCAATTTCCGAGAATGATCCCAAAGTAACCCTCCTCCCGGGACTTTGATACTTGCATCAGTGTTTTAACTCAAATCTGCCTTGCATACAAGACATCCAACGAGCCACTTGAGCGCTTCTTTTTGGTAGAGGCTGAATTCGAAAAAATGAAGAGATACAGATATTCTCAAAGCCTAGCAGCTGTGATAATTTACTGCAAATAAAGCTGTACGTGAGTGGGCTGAATATAACGAAGTGAGAGTTGGAGAGGACAAAACAGAGGTAAATGGGGAAAAACAAGCGGCAGAATCGAGTAGATGGTATCCACCCCCACAGGGGGTTATCAAGTTAAACTCTGATGCAGCTTTGGAGCAGAAGGAGAGGAGAATAGGCTCGGAGGTGATGGCCAGAAGGGAGGATGGGGAGATAGTTGGAGCTTGGGCAGGAGGTGAAAGGAGAGACGGAAACCCAACAGTGGAGGAAGCCTTAGCTATCAGAAAAGCTGTCATCAAGGCAAAGCAGAGGGGCTGGAACAAAGTGGAAATCCAATCTGATTGTAAACAGATGGTTGATAAGCTCAAGGATAGGAATAATGAAGACCCAATTACGGGGACTATATTAGCTGATATACTGATGTTAAGCCAAGAGATAGTTGGAGCTTGGGCAGGAGGTGAAAGGAGAGACGGAAACCCAACAGTGGAGGAAGCCTTAGCTATCAGAAAAGCTGTCATCAAGGCAAAGCAGAGGGGCTGGAACAAAGTGGAAATCCAATCTGATTGTAAACAGATGGTTGATAAGCTCAAGGATAGGAATAATGAAGACCCAATTACGGGGACTATATTAGCTGATATACTGATGTTAAGCCAAGAGTTTGATGAATGTTACTTCTCATTTGTTAAAAGAGATGCTGTCTCACAAGCTGGCAAAATTTGCCATAAGCCTGTATGATGAAATTTGTTGGAAGGAATCTTTTCCAATATGGCTTACTAGTTTAGCCAAAAAAGATGTAAGAGCAGTTGCTCCTCCAACAGTGTAATTAGTTTTCTGGAAATGGAATATGTTATCGTCTTGGGGAAAAAAAAAAGTCCATGGAAGAACAACAAAGCACAACGAGAGACCATAGAAGAACGTCATCAGTGGGGAACAAATCCATGTAACAGCCACCAGTTTAGATTCTTCAGAAAAGGTATTCTGAAGGGAAGATTATGATCCCAAACCAGCCTACATACCTTGGATACATTCCTCCCTCGCCTCTCTAATTTCTAGGCTGAAGGAATAGAAAATTTTATTGTTATCGACAGTCTCCACAACATCAGACCTTGTCTTATCATAATCACAAGGCAATTGGGCAATCAAAGTGACCAAGGGCTATCCCAACCTGCCACAAGTATAAATTCAGCCAATAATAAAGGGGAAGGATTGCCAACATCACCAACTTCTACCAATGGAGAATCAATAACCCATCTATTGAACCAAAAGTCAATTATAAACCAGCCTCCAAGCACCATCTAATTCCGGATTACACAACATCTCCAATTTCCATACGCCGTCTCCAAATAAAGGGACCACAATTCAATTAACTTCCATCGGCTGTAAACGGCCAATGTACTTCTGAAGCACAAAACTCAGACAAAAAGAGCTATTCAACCTCAATTGCCACCAAAGTTTCAACACTAAAAGCATTAACCACATCGTGCAACGAACGGACTGCAATTCATCCTCTTCAACAGGATACAACTTATCCCATGACAGACCAATCATTACAAAGAACTAATAAAATGCATTCCAAGACATTTCCGCTTGTTTTTACTCATTTTTCTTCAGTGAAAACACGAATAGAAAGAAGAAACAAAGCGGGAAAAATCAGCACCATATACGGCACCCGGAAAAGGGATATAACATGTAAATAATATATTATATAAATTCAACAGTGAAAAGTCGTCTGGTCTCTATCCATAGATTACATTTGCAAGACGACATTTGAGCATAAAAACCAGAAACTGGGGCATGTAAAAAGACCACAGAACTACTCGAATACTTGTTTAAGATCACAAAGTCCCTAACTGGATTCAGAATGTAAATGTCCAAATAACAGACTACAAACCACCTGTACAACCATATTTTCATGAAACAAAAGCACATTTTATCAGACAAATTATGTTAGTCAGGCCTTCCAATCAAAATTCATGTTATCATCAAGATCACTGCCGAGAAATCCATTTTCCGCAAACTCATGTGGAATGTCAGGTACCATTTCCTCTGACAAATGAAGACTACGTGGAAGCTCAGAAGATTTCTGGTTGAACCCACTACTTGCACCAGCTGCAGAGGATTCACTATTTGAAGCAACTTTGAAACTGTTGCTTCTGCTTGGAGCAGGTCCCATAACATTACTCGTTCCATTTCCAGTCGTCACGCTTCCTGTAGAACTTTTATTCCCAAATGCAAGTCCATCTCTTGACACACTCCCACCAAGACTCTGACATGCAACAGGCTGCTGAATTCCACTATTATCCTGCATCAGTTGCTGCATCATGTGCTGTTGTAATGGTTGACTACCTTGCACTGCATTATTTTGCTGCAGCAAGGCTAAACGCTGCTGCAGTGGCGGCTGTTGCAGATGGGAACCTGATAACCCACCAATTGGTGGATTCTGCAAGGTTCCTGGAACTGCACCTGAAGGCCCTTGAAATGTTGAGGACGGATTCTGGTTAGAATTACTCAAAGAAGAAGATGCTTCCTGATGCAATGAACTACGACTTGAGTTCATTGAGTTCTGTCTCATGAGCAAGTTTTGGTAATTTGTCAGGGCAAGGGCGGCTTGTGCTGACCCACTTAAACCACCTCTACCCACCATGTGCTGAGTATTGCCCATTTGGTTGTTTAATCCAGGATGCAGAGCCATTAGCTTATTCATTGTACTTCGATCAGTTGGCAGACTCTGGATACCTCCCAGCTGATCCATTTCCTGAACCTTTTGTGCCTGAAGCTTGGCTGCATTGCCTTGTCGGGGAAAGTTTTTCAGGCCCTCTGCAAATAAGGATAGCACATCACTGCCAAATAGATAAAACGTATCCAGCATCACAGAAAAGCTAAGGTACTTGAATAAATTGGGTTAATAGCCAACAGATGTGGCAAAAAAAATTAAAATCATCAATCCATAATATTCTTTCCCTCCTTAGCCACAGAATCTCTTTGAAGCTTTACACATTAAAAACTTCCAATGCCAGTAAGGGAATAAGAGGGTAAAAGAAGATGATTACCAATAGGCCCAACTTTGTTTTCTCTGCAAAAATCCATCAAGTCTTTCATGCTATTGACAACCTCTGATATCTGTCACGTGTTAAACACAGATAAGCATAAGAAATCTGAAAGCAAGAATAAAGGTTTCCAATCTTGTCAATAAAACCTTGACACATGCCTGTAAGCATCGCACATATCTCTTGGAGAATCCTAAATCATTAAGCGATTGCAACTCAAAACTTCTGGCAAGCTGACGGCCAGCTGTCACAACCCTACAATCCATGACAGTCCAACACAATTTGAGTACTAAAGGAACATTAAGAGTGCTCATAAGTTCACAAACAAGTTCAAAGTTGACAAGCATCAAAAAATTGACCATAAGCATGGGACCACAATTCTCTAAGCAGCCAATTCACAAGGTACAAAATGAGAGTTATATTTTTAAGCATAATTCACCCACATGTTACTGTTAGTCTGTAGATCTTGCTGACAGACACCCTCTCCTCCGCTTTCAGAGATTGTGCTTTGGCACTTTTGTGCAACCTGTAGTAACTGATTAACCTGCAAAAGAAAAATGCTTCATGTATTGAATGCAAAGAATGAATATAAATCAGGCTACATGCTCTGAAGTTGACTCAGATTATAGTCTCAAAAGTCATCAAAACTCGACAAGGAAAGACAAAAGTTCAATAGCTGCACAATCTACATTTAACTCCAGTGTCAGAGAGAGTAAAGTGCAACCACACTAGAAATTAAAAGAGGGGCCCTAAATCAATATTGAAAGTGTGAACTTATTTTTTCAAAAGACCAGACATGTTTCACAGAGCAAAATCCATCATGACTTGCCAAGAAATGGTGTTACTTATGACTGCAAAATCTGTATAAGAGCAGCTTCACAAAATAAACAAAGAGAACATTGATAATCAAACATGAAACAGCAAAAGAAATCTCAACATCATCAGATGACACTACGTAATGCAATGACATTGAGCAACAAAAGTCACCTCTTTAATCCTGCAGTCACTGATCAACAAGTTGTTCATACTTTAAATACATACCTGTGGTGCAACCAATCTACGCGGAAGCAACTCCTCATGACGTCGTGCACAAAATTCCCATGACAATATCTGATAACAAAAAGGAAGAAAATCTTAACAGGACAGAAAAACAAGATAGATAGCATCAAAAGACAAAAGACACACTTACTTCTTAATTACCTTTAAATCAGGGGCGAAAATAATACGAAGCTGACCTTCACGAACCACCCGTAGTTGCTCATATACACTTTCTTGAACTGCCTTCACATACTCCAGCATCATTATTCCTGAAGAAAATCTACATTCGCGCGGCAAATCCAAAAATAACAGCTCATCGATGACCCCACTTCCAAATTTGATCTCATTAAGTCTGGGAAGCACTTCAAAAGTTGCCTCTGTTGAAACCCACCACACATAACATAAAGACCGGTTAAAACATACAAGTAAAACTTGTATTTGTTTAGAAGCCAAAGAACTGCCTTCATGTCACAATATTTTGTACACAGAA